TGTCTTAAAACTGAGTAAGACCAAACCTTGTCTGGGAAACTCCTGCTGGTTGACCTCAGTGTCCTCCACAGGTCTGCTGGGCACAGCCTAATGTTGCAGAGCTTTCTTCTGAACAGCAGGCCTGAATCTATTTATTCTGAGGTTCACTTGGCACAGCAGGCAGGCAGAGCTGTAATTGCCTGGTTCTCAGGCTGCTTTGACTCATGTATGTGGGGCAACCCTGGAGGATCGTCATAGTCTATGTGTCACATAAGGACTACTGCAGCATGGAGATGTGCAGTGCAACTCTGCATTCCTGTTTCATCCTCTCTGCCAGTCCTGGGGAGATGATTAAGGAATAGTAAGGTCAGAGGGCTTTTTATCAGCCATAATTATTCTCCAGCCTGTTTTGTGCCTTCCAGACAAAATGCAAAGGGAAGAGAACTAGGTCTGGTGCTTGTTTGTGAATTTAGCTCATGAATCACTTGTGAAGGGAACCTCACTACTGCTAATCTATTACAGTATACATGGGAAGTTTTCATGTTAGGGACTTCATTTACCAGCTTGTTTGTTGCAGATTATTTCATTCATGAGATATTGGGTGAATGAAATAGCTTTTAAACCAAAGAGTGCTTAATTTTGAATAGTAAGCTGGAAGTAACTCATGTCTGGGACAGTTCTGTCCTGACACTGAAGCTAGAAATCATGACACTTCCAGAGCCTAAAAGTCATAAATATTTGTTACGTATATGTGCATATTTGGCTAATAAATAACATTCATTGGGGTTGTTTAAAAGCATCAATAAATGGTGTTTGATATTGCTAGGTGAACATCCAGTATTTTCAACAGAGGACTGGCACCCCAAGCTACAACTGCTGTAAAGGTAAGACAGAGAGATTCACTGTGCATCTTCAGCAATTCTGCTTGGAGAAAGTCATCATGACTTTCAGAAGAGAATACAGCGATTGCTTCACTTGATAATATTTGTAAGTCCACCAGTTCATTTGCTTTGTGCAAATCTATGTAACGAGTGTGCCAACAAAGTCAAAATCAACAAATCTTTTCAACCCTATAAGATTAATTTTTCCCTTTTTCTTTTCTTTAATAAGGAAGACTTCTAAAATGTCTTGTTGGTAACAGCTGGAGACCTCAACCAAAGTATACAGGGAGCTAACAACTTTTTTGTAAATGTTGCAGTCTGAATGTGTTTACCATGTAAGTAATTCAGCCTTATGTCTGAATATAGGAATATACTCATCACAGCTTAACTGTAATAGAGGTATGTGCTATTTTCCATTCATTTTATCAATTCACTATATCCTTTGATTACTGATCATCTAAGTAGAAGAAGATCCTGGCTGTATACTCCTGAGTTGTAAGGACTGCTGAGTGTCGAGTTAGCTGTGACTTTATGTGATCTTTATCATACAACTTGAAAATTGCATTTGAGCAGCTTTTCCACTCTTATATACCTTCAACTCTCTATGTTTCACTGAAATCAGTTAAGTGAAATAATTTTTTATTGTTCAATGTACACTTGAATTTTAAAATAAAGGATGTGGCATGCTTCTGGTGGAATAGAATACTTACAGTTTGAGGAAGCATGCTCTGTGGCTGGGGACAAAGATATTCTGCACACAGTATTTAGTGTGTAGAATCTCTGAGTCTATATAATACAGAAATAAATATTCTTTTTAACCAGGTTGGCTAGTGAATGTATTTTCATAGTGCTCACTGAGTCTGATTACTGTTCCAAACTGCTTTACTCCGAGCTATGGTTTTCTACCAGACTACAAGAAACAAGGTTTTGTTATTGTAATTGCTACATTTGGAAAATCTGCAGTTTAATTTAATTGCCAAGTTGGTGCATTTCTAGCTTTTACACATGGCTTTTGCTGTTTGTTTCATACTAAAATCTTTCAGACAATGTTCTGAAAGGAGAACGTTTTAAAGAACTAAGGCAGAGGAGGGGATGTGAGCCTTGGGTGTCAGAGGGTAGGGCGCTGCCTTTGGGCTGAATGGCAGAATTTGCTGTGCCAGACTCTTGCTGGCAGTGTTTCCCTGGCACTGTCTGCTCATTAGGGCTCTGCTTCTATAGCATACTTAAATACAACAGAAAGTTCACCCTTGTGAATGAACAAAGATAAATGTATATTCATATTAAAGTTAAGCATGTGATTATGAGCTTTGCAAAATTTGGGATAATAAGAGAGGGAAGGCCTGTGTGTACAAATGTACCACAGAAGCTATTCCAGGGACCTTTTTACCTTTTGCTCATTATTTATATTACTTCTGAGTGCTTAGATATTGCTGCTTGTTACCCACCCCACTGATGTTTCATAATTGTCTTTCCAAGTGCTGCTAAAAAGAAAAGCTGAGATTCTGGGACATTACAGTGTGCCAGTGATTGAATTCCATAGCCCCACACAGAGAGACGAGCATATAAAGAGGGAAAAATCAAGGTTTTTCTTCTCATATGAGTGGCATTGCCCAATGCCTCAGGACAACAGAGAGTGACAGAGAACAGATGTTTCCTAGCAAACAGAGGATAATAGATGAAAAGTATGCTTAACACTAAAAATGAAGGAAAACTATATTTTCATATTTCGTCAGTCAGGAGAAAGACAAAAGGATTAGATCTTGGGAGAAGGAGAGACTCAAATTAGAGAATTCTATAAAAATTGTTTACTGTCCAAAAAGATTGTGTGATACTGTTGTTGTCATTTGCCCTTAAAGCACATAGCATATACCCAAAGGCTGTGCTCCCCTGCAAGAGAAATATTTTCAGTTCCCCACTAACAAACAGAAGTGTACTGCCACTCTTGATAAGAAATCTGCTTGTAATAGAGGGCTTTCTGATGCAGAAAAGTGCATCTGTAGTGTCTGCCCCAGAAGGCTCTCATTACTGAAACCAAGATTTAGCCTTAGCATTTGCTTTTCATTTTTACCAGCTTTTTAATTTTTAATGAATTTCATCTCCACTCACAGATTCTACTAACCATACATTATCCTATGATGAGAGAATAAAATCTGAAGGTTAAAGCTGTGTATCAGACGTCCCTTTGTTCCTCCACCAATACACTGTCTTGACTTCTAGGGCCATTTGTCAGAGAAGTGATGTCACGGTAACAAAATGCAGATTGCCTTTCGATTTCCAGAGCAACTATGGAGCCATCCCAACTGAAGGCTGAGGTACTGACATCAGTAAATTGCCTGTCCTAGCAGTGACTTGTGTTGCTTTCCATTCTGCTCAATATTTTGCCATCTTCACTGGCTCCATCAGTTTTGTGAGGTTTTCCTCCAGCATGTTCAAGTCCAGCAGTCAGCTCCAGGGTGGTTACTGATGACTTTATGACAGGCCTTAAATATTAACATTAAGATGCTTTTGAAGCATTTGTTTATTTGTAGGATGTAGTCTTCTGAAGCATCTTTCTGTGAGGTGTCAATGGATGTTTTTGTTGGTCTTATCGAATACTTGAAATCATTACCATATAAAAACTCTGCAAATAAGAACTCTCAGGTATTTTAGAACTTTTGAAGGAATTCTACAAACCTGAACTAGAAAATCCTACAGTTTTCCATTATGTTCAGCCTTTTAACAGTATTAGGGGGTGCCTGCAATTACGTTGGGATACATTGTGTCCTGCTGAATTTTGGCAAAGTAGACTTAAAGCAGATACTTTATGTAATTGCAGTTCATTGAGTTCTTCTTGGTGACTGACTTGGACTGAAAACAATATTCTGCCACTTGGAGCATTCCTAGTCTGCCAAATGGGAGACTTTATTTGATGCCAAATAGACCTCTTAATTTTTCAGTCAATATTTTGCTGTGATTCTTGACATAGCTTTTGCTACCAATTTTATGATTTTTCAGTGAGCACTGCAGGCAAAACACTGATCTCCTTATGCAGAATATGAATTTTAATATAACAGGGATGCCTATCATTAATTACTTAGCATAGATATTGGAGAACTAAAACAGCAATTACGCTATTGCTCTAAAATATAAAAGGCAATAACATGGTAGCAATACTTTTGCTGTGGTATAGTGTTTTCAGAAATATCACCACCTTTATACAAGAATTGGAAGTTCGTGTACTTATGCTAACAACATCTGTGTTTGAAAATAACTAATTCAAAACATTTCTCATCTTACAGGTGTCACAGCAATTTGTGCGGGGGAAAAAAAAGAAATGAAAAAAACTTTATAAATGCATTTCTGCAAAAATGTACTCAGAATCAGCTTTATTTATAGCTCACACCTTTTTTTTTGCTAAAAATGCATAGTCATTACATATATAGTAGTCAGCATCCAGAAGTGTACAAAGAGTAAATTTTCAAACCCTCCCAACAGAACCAAACAAAATTCACACTTTTTGTTCATTGCATGCACAGACCCTTAAATGTGATACCTCTTACTAAAGCGTGCTTGAATCTCTAGCAGACAGAATTGACTTGCTATGAAATGTTTCTCCATACTATTAACCCCCCCCCAGCTACAATCACAAAACCTAAGGCATTCACATGAAACAGCAAAGCCCTACTTCAGAATCCTCCATGTTCTGAGTATGGCCCAGAAAGCAATTGCCCTGAAAGCAGAATTCTGCTGGTGGTGTTTGCTTATAGAGCACTTTGAGCAAAAGCCTGCTTCCTTTGTCTTGGTCATTAATTTATTACTGAATTCAGTGGAATGAAGCAGCATCTGTCTAAGCAAGTTGTGAAAATAACTTTATTCCACACCCAGCTCCAAGACACTAAATATCTTGAATGGAGGTCTCTGTCTTTCAGCACATGTGATGCCTCCTCAGCATCTTGCACCTCGTCTGAGGAGAAAAGGTTAAAGTCTCAGGTGTAACTTGGGTGATGGTTGCGTAGCCCTGACTTACAGGTGTCTAACAGAAGCTAGGAATATACTTGGATAGGGTGAATTTCTAATGGTAAAGGCTTTGATTTAATGAACCACTCAAACCCTTTGATGCCTTTGTTGTAGGTTTGTTGCTTTTTTGGTGGTTTTGGGGTGTTTTGTTTGTTTGTTTTTTGTTTTCTTTGTCTCTACTACTGCTGCCAGTTAGAAAAGCTCTTAAAAACATTGTCCTCTGCTCAGTGGTGCTGTCTGTATCAGTTATTCCAGAGGGCAGAGCGGGTTAGCAGGATGATTAGTCAGGGCTCCACAGTAAAGGAAGAGTATGCATAAGTGATAAGGAGATCCAAGGTCGGTTTTCACTCAAGAATGGGATTGGCTCCATGTTATCGGTTTTGGGAAAGGGGAGGGGAAAGGAAAAAGTTGTTTGTCTGATCAATATAATTTTATGTTCCCAAATGATTACACATGTTTATTTAAAAGCTTCAGTTATTTAAGGTCTTTTTACTCTGATAAGAAGTAGCTTGAACTAGGTTGAAATTCCCAATAGAAATTGAGACATAATCATAGTTTTACAGAGCCTGATGGGAAATCTTGCTCCATAGTTTCATGGTAACTGGAATACAATCCATGGCTAAATGAGTAACAAGGCCTTGTGTCAGCATTACGGTGCTTCTTGGTACATGTCACCAGTGAGAATTTCTGAAGAGTACTTAACTCATGTATGTTTTCTATCTACTCCTGTCCCTTAAGTATTTAGTCAGCCTGTTTACTACTTCTTAGGTCTTGATTGCCACCCGCTTGAAGCCAGTGGAAGTTTTGCCATCAGCTCCAGAGGACATAGGATGTGAACCTCCTAAGAGGTTTCTTCCAAGAGTTTGTGATCGAGAAAAGTTCATATTCCTGTCCCTGTGAGATAAGAAGCTATGGAAGAAAACCAACATTCTCTCTGCCGGAGTTCAGTAACGTTTCTGCTTAGCACCTAGGAGGGTCTTTGCATTTTTAAGTGCTTTACAAACATTAGCTAGTCTTTAGAGCAACCCTGCGAGGTAGGTAAGGTATATTCTCCCCATCTTACAGATGTGGAAACTGAGACACAGAGGGTCAAATTCAACCCTGGTACAATTCCAGTGTTTTACATGAATTAAATTCATTCAAAATGAACACAGTTTAAACAACTTGCCCTAGATTACAGAACAAGTAGTGGCAAAGCAGGAACAAGAACGCAGTACTGCCTGACTCCTCAGCTTGTTACCAGCCACTTTGTCATTTTTACTCTCATAGGCAATGAGAAACAGTATAATCTGGGCAATTACTACAGGTATGATTTGCTTCTGTAAGGCATGTGGATGGTAATCAACTGAGTTTAGTGCAATAATACTTCATGAATGTGCTGCTTCAGAGAGATTACTTAAACATTAAGTAAAACTTTCATACTGTCATTTTCTGCAGGTGCACTGTTGACAAAAACCTGACATAGTAGCTGGATTCAGCAAATAAATAATAAGCACAACACTTGGACAATTAAGCAAAGCTATCATTTTAGCAAACCCCGATGTGTTTCTGCTTCTAATTGCTAAATTTCTACAAGTGCAGCATGCAGATGAAACCTTTCCCTTTGTTTCCAGACTGCAGACTCCAGTCTTGCTAACAAAGCAGCTCAGAGCTACACAGATATCCTGGATAGTGACATTCAAACGAATACACTGCAGAAGAGGAAATAGTGTATCACCACAGAATACAGGATAATTACTACAGACCAGGCATATCAATCTTGCACGAAGGTGAGCTTGAAGCTTACACCTTACTGGGAAGTGCCCAGAGCTAGGCTTATTGAACATATGCCAATGTGTAGACTGCAGGTTAGGCACATGCTGATTGCAATGGAAGTGTCTGTGCCACCAACACTCTAGAAACTGCCCCCATCAACAGTCAGTTCACGTGAGCACAGGTATGTCAGTCTGAAGGTCAGTGTTGGCCCAAGACAGAAAGACACGTAGGCATTTCTAGGCCACCCTGTTGTGCTCCAGTCCTCAACTAATTCCCCCATCCCCACACAGATTCTGCCACAAAAGGCCTGAAAAGCCTTTTTGGTTTTAAAGATGAGCTGTGGGGTCCACAGTGTAGACATCATGGCAGGTACCCAGGCAATAAAAACATTATGACAGGTACTTATGTAAACACGGTTGTTTTCTAGGATGTCCTTATGCATCTAGTCTGCAGGTTAGACCTCCTGTCTAAGCCCTGGACATGCTTATGGATGTGGGCTTATGGATGCTTATGTGTGCTTTCACATCATAAAGAGATCCCACTCCTTCAAAAGCTACACAAATTATGACATTCACTTCTACATGAGCAAATTCAAGTGCTACAATTATAGCTATGTTGTTCCACTTTTAACGTCTTTAATTCAGTTTTGTTCCGTCCATATTTATGGAGACTGGCTATGGGACACAGCAAACAGCATTTATCTACATGCATGTCCTTCACTGAATAAACACAGACACTCAGGTGGCATTTCCCTAGGTACTCTCCACACTTACTGCAACTTTTTAATTTGTAACCACATTTTAAACAAACAGACAAATGAATAAACATAATTAATTAGAACTCTTAAAAATCTAATCGCATCTCCCTGTACCCATTCACTCCTGATTCATATAATCTGCTTACAGTGGCTTGGAGACCAGTTCTTGCAACCGGCATTTACAAATAATTCTAGTAAGTGCTCAGGCCCATACATGTGCCTCAACATTTTGCCAATAAAAACTTTTAAATGAGGCAATATTCTTACTATCAGAGCCAGGTACCAAATTTGCAGCATGGGAACTCTTACAACAGCAGTAATATTCCAGTAAAATTGCAGTTGGTTTCAATCCAACCTTTATACTGTTATCTGTCGTTGAGATATATATAGACGACCCTGTGTGGCCTAACTGCAAATACCAAATGTATTTTTACAAGTTAGTAACAGCTTTTTTTGACATTGCTTCTTGAGATGTCCTCTACGTTGTGACTGACAAGCACAAATATAAGTCATTATACAGCATGCTTTAAAAGCCTTCTTACGTTTGGCTTTTACTGTTGCTTGTTTCTGAGCTGTCTTCTAGTGCTGAGATTTGCTGTCCCTGGCCTTCCTGATTTCTTTCTTAGTTTTTAATTGCCGGTTGGACATGCTAGTGGCATCTCCCAGGCAAACCCCTTCTGCATAATTAGTTTTGAAACTTGGATGAGTCATTGGCCTCTAACTACTATGCCTCTATAATTTTAACCTGAATACAGCACATCTCAAAGATTTCGGCCTCTTTTTGCAGTTGTGGAAATTCATAGGCTGATATCATTGCAGGTCTTGATCCATTTGCTTTCTATTATAAGTTTCCAGTTTTTTTTTTTCTCTTTATAAAGCACATTTCAAAGCATAACAGTGTTGTAAACCAGCCTCCTCTCCTAGTGGTGCAGATAATTTTCTACCTTATTGGCAGCTGAATAAAGCAACGCTGCACTTATGACAAAAGTTAATGAAAATATGTAAAATGAAAAATACTTCATGTAGTTTTCATTTTCTTTTAATGCATGTTGGCAAATGAAAACAGAACACGGACAGCCACATGGGGCCATGCTGGTTTTTATGGCCCATCAGTGATAACTCAAGAGGCCACAGTTTGGGAACTGTTTTTTCAGAAAATTCAATCCAATCTCTTTAAGACACCACATGTGACCCCACCACAAATAACATACTACCAGAATTGTGGCTGGCAAAGCATACATATTTTTGTTAGGCCATTCTCATCATTCACTGGGAATCAGAAAACCCCAAACCATTGTAATTAAAATGGGTTGAGATACAAAATAAAATGAAGTGGGTTTGATTTTCTTTTTGCTTATGCACTTTCATGAGGAAATTTTCACAAAGCTGACATTGGTACAGTGCATATCAATTATTGGTTCTTGTGGTGATTCTGACCCATATTAAGTATTTGACCTGATAATCCCTAGCTATAGTCCTTCCTGTATTCCCATTATAAATAAAGGGGACTTTGTTTTACAGAGGCTTATGGAACTGGACTCAAAACATTTTCTTGGGGTTCAGATGCCATGTCCATGAAAATAGGAAAGTCCGAAGCAGGAATGTATTTCCACAACACGGGTGAAGAGGGCGAGTTAAAGAGTCACTACCCTATTGTGCACTGACACCGGTGCTTCCTAAGGAAGCACCACCCTTCTTTTTAAAAATGGGGTATACAAGCAGTTTCTTGCCTGAACTTCAAAATGTAACCCCCCCCACATAATATTATTGCATACTTGTACTGTTAGACAAAATCAAAACGCATCTGTTCAAAATCTGCACATCTCTCTATACAGAGAATAAGTTCAACCTACAGTTAGTTGTTTGTCATGTGACAAGGCTAATACTGGGGTTGCTGTGAAAAGATACTGCTTTGGAAAAATATCTAAGGATTTTCCTTGAACTCTCCCAAAGCCTGTGAATGAGGACTTCAAAACAGCCAGTTGCAGCCACAACTGATCCAAACAGGAAGAGATGGGGAATGATGATAAAGTGCCGGTATCCAGTCTTTGTAGAAAGAGATTTTATCCTCTGATCTCAGATTCAGCAGTATCTTATTCTGCAACTGATTTTAGGATGGTAAATCTGACAGTACTCTAATTAAAGAACAGCAGAAATGAGTTCCATGTAATTCTTTAAAAGATGCAGAATGAGATCTCATGCATCAGTTACTCTCTTTACATCCAGAGAACTCCCACTGAGCTTGGCAGGGGGTTATAGAAAGTCTAGCATCTGACTTTGACTCTGAAGGGCTGATTTGGGGGTGATTTACCATGAAAGATCAAGGGGCCCCTTAGCAAGCCCCTTAACACAACAGATGTTCCTGACATGGTGGGGGATGAGCCATGCCATTATGCATTGCGCTTTTCTCGCCGTCCCTGCTCCAGACTATCTTGACCCCTTTCTGGTTCAGTTACTTTACATATCCCTCTATTTTATTTTAGCATCCGAGTGGCTACACTAACCCCTCACTGCTATTCTAATTAAAGTCTCTCCATCAACTGGTAATTCTGTAATAATTCACAGCTGGTTTTCCTCTCTGTTAAATCTATTGTTCCCTGGCTGAAAAGACTGCAAGACCTTAGAAACTATAGCTAGCTATTGATTTGTTTGCATTTAAAATCCAGTATGTGGCTGCAAAGGCCTGTTACAGTATCACAGAGGAAGATAAATGTCAGTGCATAATCTGCTAGGAAATTTCACAGAGGAGATGATTAAAAGTCTATGAGTAATCATTGCACAAGTGCCTTCAGGTGTTTGTATATATATATACACATATATATATGTAGCTAATAATATATAGCTAGATATATAAATATATGTATGTATATACAGAGCTAGTTTAAACCTAATTGTTATGAAATTAGTAAGTGGCATTCACGGTTCATGCATTCTTCCTAGTAGCAGAGCTAAATTATTTCAGATTATACTCTAAGCAGCAACATACCAGTAAGCGTTTGCTTGCTTCCCCTGGTAATCTAGTAGTTTAAAGAGCACGAGCAGGTCATTTTCTCTAGCAACCCTCGGAGAAAGGGACCTGGCTCCTCCACAGGTGCATTTCCCCCAGGTTTCACAACATCTCCAGGACATGGTGGGGCCAGTCTGAGAATCACCAGTCTGAAGGTCACCGGCCAGAGGATCTCCAGCCCAAGGGTCACCGGTGTGGTGGTCACTGTCCCAAGGGTCACCAACACAGCTAGTCCTGCTTGCAGAGGTCTGCGACTTTGAGGAACCTTCTTACGACCACAGCCAGGCAGATTGTCAGGAGCAGCATATACCCCACAGTGCCCAGGTAGGTGGGAGCAGCCAGGGGTGCCTTGAGGAACTCAGCCAGCCCATCCTCCACATAGTGCACCTGGTCGTAGATGCTGAGGAAGGTGAAGATATGGAAAAGCTGGTGGCTGTGCCCCACGATGTCGAAGAGCCCTGGCTGGATCCGCTCAGGGATTTTGCTGACATTGAAGAAGGCGGCCACCAGCAGCCAAAAGTAGCGCCGGTAGAAGTAGATGAAGAGAGTAGGGTTGCGGGTGCGGAGATCAAAGAAGAGGCTCTCTAGCATGATGGGGCAGGCCATGCTCAGTGGCATGGCGAAGACGAAGGTGCGCACGGCAAAAGGGTAGGCGCAGCAGGCAGCACGGCTGCGGCAGCACGCGGCTGTGCAGCCCACTGCCAACGCCAGGGCCACAGGCAGCACCAGCACACGGTAGACTGCGATGGGCAGGCTGCAGTCCAGCTGCCAGCCCAGCCGCTGCTGCACATAGTGGCTCATGGCGCTGGCATCAAGCAGGCTCAGCCCTGGCAGCAGGTAGTAGGAGTAGGCCACAGTGCTGGCAAAGCCATAGTAGCTGATGGAGGCGTAGTCCAAGTAGAAGAAGGTGGCACGGAGGCGTGGGGAGAGGCAGCTGAAGAGGTGGGCCGTACAGCTCATGGCGAAGGTGAGCAGCACCCCTGAGGCGTAGCACCAGAGGGGCAGTAGGGCCGGGTGGTGGAAGGGCACATCCCCAGCGCCTCGAAGCAGCAGCAGCTTCCCAAAGCGGCTGAGGAAGAGCAGCAGTGGAATGAAGTGGGTCCAGAAGTTGAGGGTCTCATTGGTAGGCTGCAGCACCGAGGCCAAGCACTCCTGTGCCGAGCAGTGCAGCCGCCGGTAGCCCGAGAGGATGAAGCACTCCACGAAGTCCTCGGGCACCTCGTCCCACCGCAGCAGGGCGGCGGGGCGAGCTGGGGGCGCCGCCTCCTCCTTGTCCCCCTCATCCGCCCGCATGTTGCTGTCCCCGCCGGCCCCGAGCCCCCCGGCCACCCCCGGCCCGCCGCCCGCCGCCGCGCCCCGCCGCCGCCGCCCGGGCGAGTTAGAGCCGCCGCTCCCGCAGCCGCCGGCGGAGGAGCCGTGGTGGCTCTGCGCTGCTGCTGCTGCTGCTTCTCCTCCGCCGCCGCCCCCAGCAGCATCACTCATTGCAGCACGAGCAGTGGCGGCACCGCCGCGGCTCCTCCCGCCCCACCGCCCGGCATCGCGGTAACTGGAAACCGGCGGCGCATCCCGTGCTCCCGGGGAGCCAGAAGAGACGCCCCCGCCGCCCCGGGTAGGGTTTCCCAGGGAGGGAGGCGCTGGCTACCCGAGCCGCTGTTTAATGATTGATGCAGCCGCAGCGGGGGGGGCTGGGCCTGGGAGAACCGGGCTGGCGGTAGAGACCTGCGAGCGGGCCTGGGTTAAGGGACCAATTCCCGCGGGACCGCTGAGCTTTAAGAAGCACAAAGGGGGCATCAACATCAGCTGTCTCGGGGTGCTACCCAGCGCAGAGCCCCGGCGGTGGCAGCGCAGGTGTCGTAAGCCGGGTAGAAGCCCCGAGGAAAAGCAGGGTGAGCCCGCGGAGTCGGGAGGTTCCCCGCAGACCGGGTAGAACTGGGAAGTGCCCCCAGCCAGGGGACATCTGGCATCTGGGGGGATTTCTGCCGTCTGTGCTTCAGTGAAGCCGCCTGAGACCTCGTTTCGGTGGTGCCGTTACCTCATGCAATGAATACAAGCGTTATTTTAGGCCAAACGTTCCCAGGCAGCCTGCAGCGGGTGCATGTCACACTGACACAGCACCCACCTTGTCACCACGCTCCAAGCGAGGCGGCTGGGACTCGGTAATGGGCTGACAGGAGCTGCTCTGTGTTGATCCTTAGGCAAATCCCACATTCATATCAGCGGTGCGGTTATGCAAGCAGCACAGTTGCATAATCAGAATATAAAGATATGGGGAAAAGCACTGTACGGGTGTTACTGTACCTGAACGTGGCAGAAGGAAACAGAAGGCAGTGCAGAAAGGTGGGTAACTGCTGCAGGCACAAGTCGGAGCCACAGGGAGGGATTGCACTCTGCTGCTCCGATGCATATCCTTTCTCTTTTTTGCTGGTCTTACATATCTGATAGCTCCCTGTTTTCAGATGTATGTATTACACAGTGATAGTCATATATATATATATACATATATATGGTCATACAGTATAAACCAAGGTCCAGTATAATTAAGACATTCTGCCCACAGATTTTTATGAAAATCTTCAATACTAAATCATGACAACATAAAAAAAGTCTTCTGAACAAGGAGGTAATCAGAAAAAGTTTTTTGTTTTGTTTTTTTAATTTGCATTAAAAAAAAAAAGTAAAAATGTGTTGCTGAAAGTGACTTTGAATGCAGTTTCCATTAGAGTAAAAGTATTGATTGTATGGAACTGTCAAAACCAGGGCAGACTGATGATGCTGCTTGTAAACTTTATAAAAATTACACAGGAGTCCTGCTAGGAAAATAAACACCACTGAAAAAGTGCTGCAAAGCCAAGGGCAGGAGTAAAATATTAAGCTAAGAGACTTGTTTTTTAGATAATGGGTCTAATGCACTCTGATGTCCATGTGTTTTAGAGGTGGTGTGCAGGGACATACCAAGCGAACACTCAAGGAGAGTCTCTACTGCACCAGGAGCGAGCAGGGCTGTGCTTGCTGTGGTTTCTGCAGTGTGGGCTTTAGCAAGAGAGGGAAATTCTTTGGGATTAATGAAAACTGCTCAGCCTCTTGGAGAGGTCAGGCTCCTCATGGGGCTGCTCTGTACTAGAGATGTCACCCTGGCAAATAACACTCACGATGCTGGGCCATTTGCTCCATCAAGGTAAATGCACCTGGTGGTGAGGGGGCTGTTAGGCAGAAGATATCTGTACCCCCATCCTGCTCCAATCATACCACACCACACCTGCAGGCATTCTCAGTAGGGCTCTGGTAACCATTTCTGCCAGTCCCTAAGGGATACTTTCATTTACAGTGGTGAGTGCCACTGCAGGTCCTGAGGAAGAAGACCGAGGTGACCATGATCTTCAGCCTCCCTTGTCAAGGTTAGATAAGGAGAGGTGGTTGACTGGGAGCAATCTCATTTTAGACCTGTGCTAAAGAGCTGGTTGGAAAGCCACCAGCAGCTGTTGCAACAGATGGTGTCTAAACAACAGCATCCACCGCTGATTGGAAACTGCTGGCCTTAGAGAGGGAGCAGGGATCACTTGACGTGTTCTAGCTTTCCTACAATCTCCAGACCCAGGGAGTGCTGGGGTATTGCCTGGCTTTCTGGGAGAGGTACCCACTGTGTTTGTGTTTTTATGGGGCAGCCCAAGGTGGGGGGAGCAAGACTGACACGGTTCTGGTGGCCACTGGACTGCCTGGGTGCTGGTGGAAACATACACTAATGCTGCAGGGAAGAGAAATGTCTGGAAATTTCTCCCTACTATTGATGTCTTCCTGCAATATTTTAAGATTTACAGGGATTTTTGCAGAGCTGAGAATCACTTGAGTGACTTGCACATACCAGCTCCTCTGGAGAAAGCACAGGCCAATAGCACTATCTAGTTTTGTTTGCCTTGTCCCTGGTGGGTTTTTCTGTTGAAACTGTCCTACAGATAAATACAAGGAGTATAAAATAAACAGACATCTTCTTTTCTCTGTGTCTGTGCAGGTATCTAGCTTTGGCTTGTCCTGGATGTTCACGCATCACCCAGGTGTCCCTGTCTGGCCAGAAAGTGCCAGGGAGATCTCAGAGCATCTAAAGATCATGGTTCACATCATTGCCAAGTGACAGCAATGTAGCTTTAGCAGCCACATTAATGAAACTCATTACTAAGGTAATGAGTTGGTTCTTTTGCTTTTTTCCAAGGCTGCCTCCTCAGAGGGGAGAATGCTCTCTGCGGACAGATTGGGCTTTTATAAAGATAACTGCATACAGCTTACATTGAGTTAATTATTCTCATCCCAAGCTAACTGTGGAGTAGTGTACTGGGAACCTTACATTTTGAAGCACTTATAACCTCAAAATAGCTTCTTATTCATATGTAGTCCATCAAGGTTAGTATTACATGACTATTATGTGGTAAGCCAGGGAAAATCAGGGTGTTTGGAGGTCACAGAGAGTCCACGTAGAGCATGAACAGGCCTCTGTGTTTCTCTAACTAGAGTTTATATTTAGAAGGGCATGGTCAGCATATACCAGGGTTTCTTCTAGCATGTGTAGAATTTTCTGCAGGCTTTCTCTCCAAATAACCTTTGAGAAAACAAAAGGCTCTTAAAACACTGATGAAGGCACTGCTTAATGAGGTGAGTAATGGAAGATAATGTTAATAATCAGTGCTGGCTGAAGACTCCAAGAACAAGATGTGCTAAAATACCAAATGTGAGTTGGTTTCTGTTATACTTTTATTTTAACCATTGTTGAAGCCCTTTCACAAGGTATCATTTTGTCATCTTGTCTGAAATATCAAAACCACTATAAGATATTCTGAATTCCTTCAAGCCTCCCCAAAGAAATTATGCCTTCTGGTTAGGGAAAAAAAAAAACCAATTTCATCTTTTGCACTCTAACATACTCAGCATGATAGGGAAGAGGTTATACTTAGACCTCCTATTAGCCATTGCTTTTCTGAGCGAGTAAAGAAACCAACTTAAAACTTCCACGAGAGAGAAAGCCCTCTTGTGAACAAGCAGTGGTGGTGTTTGGAAGATTTCAGATGCTTTTGAAGATGCACCTTCAGCCTCACTGTCATGGGTTCAGCAGTAGCAGTCATTTTTCCCCTTCTTGGTAGCTGGTGCAGTGCAATGTTTTGACTTTCAGCTCGGGAACAGAGCTGATAACAAGCGATGTTTTGGTTTGGCCAAGGACTTTGTGAGCCTCATGCTCTGCCAGGGAGGAGGGGAAGCCAGGAGGAAGCAGAGACAGGACACCTGACCCAAACTAGCCAAAGAGGTATTCCATACCACAGCACGTCATGCCCAGGAGGTAACTGGGAGCCGGAAGGGCCGGACGACGGCAGGGTTGGAGGAGGTACAGCTTGGTCGGGCTGGGGGGGCGAATCGGTTGGCTGGTGGTGAGATGATGTATTCTCTTCCCTTGTTATTTCCTTTATCATTATTATCATTGGTGGTAGCAGTAGTGATTTGTGTTATACCTTAGTTCTCTCTTATCTCAACCCGTGGGAGTTGCATTCTTTTTGATTCTCCTCTCCTCCCTCCGAGAGCAGGGGGAGGGCAAGAATATTTTTACCTGACTGGGTTTAAACCACGACACTCACCCAATTCAACCCACTCACAGTGGCAAACATAAATCTTAAGAGCTCTTACTTGACATAATCCTTTATCACACAACTCTGTTTCTCTCTTTCATTTCTTTTTTTCCTTTCTATATTTTCACCTTCAAGACAGATTTTACTTCTTTCTTTCTTAATAAGTTTTACCCAAGTTAAAAATATTTAACCTCTTTGTTTGCTCTGGATTTTTATCCTTCTTTGCTAAAATCTCTTTAGTAAATTGTATTCTGTTCTGACATCTTCTGTGGAATCCCACTGACCATGAGTGAGGGTAGACTTTGGCTCTAGTTATTTAAAAATAGTAGGTGTTAGAGAAAGAGAGGTTTTAATCTCATCTAGCCTTGTCTAACAGAGCTCATACTTGGCACTTTCTCTGGGAGAGCATCTTAAGAGATACACAGACATACAAACACGGCCCTTTTGTCCCATGTGATTTCATTTTTTTTAATCCTTTCTCAAGTGTCTGTCAATCTCATGAAAATACTGTCTTGATGGATAACTTTCTACTGCAGTGATTATAATCTTCTGTAATAATTGAGTAGGAAGAGTGCTGTGATCTAACACTGAAGAGATGAACGCCTTTAGAGATTCAACTCCTTTATCTTTTTCAGACTGGATAAACAGGAATCCTTGCATCATTTTCTTCTTGAGTAACTAATTAGGGACAATTGTGCATCATAAACATAATTCCTTAATAGATAAAGAAAAGTGAAAGTGATGTTTGTATTATAAAGCCTCACTTGGAGGAAAGAAAAGCTATATATGGTGAAAGGAATCACAATAACTGATACCATCATGGTTGCACAGCAGTGTTTATCCTAACCTCTCTTTCACCAGAAGCTTCTAATTTTCTGCCCTTTTTACCCTCAAGTTGAGTATTTTCAGGTTTGTGGTCTTTATGCTTTAAAAACCAGTATAAAGCCAATCTGAAATAATCAGAAAAAAAAAAAACCTGGAACCCCTAAACACAGGAAACTGGGGAAAAAAATCCCACTTTAAATTTAAGAAAATGTTTGGTGGTTGTCTTTAAATCCTTGGTTTTGAAAGACTAGGGGTAGAAC